TTGCTTGTATATTTTTGAGATTAATCCTTTGTCTGTTGCTTCGTTTGCTATTATTTTCTCCCAATCTGAGGGCTGTCTTTTCACCTTGCTTATAGTTTCCTTTGTTGTGCAAAAGCTTTTAAGTTTAATTAGGTCCCATTTGTTTATTTTTGCTTTTATTTCCAATATTCTGGGAGGTGGGTCATAGAGGATCCTGCTTTGATTTATGTCAGAGAGTGTTTTGTCTATGCTCTCCTCTAGGAGTTCTATAGTTTCTGGTCTTACATTTAGATCTTTACTCCATTTTGAGTTTATTTTTGTGTATGGTGTTAGAAAGTGTTCCAGTTTCATTCTTTTACAAGTGGTTGACCAGTTTTCCGAGCACCACTTGTTAAAGAGGTTGTCTTTTCTCCATTGTATATTCTTGCCTCCTTTGTTGAAGATAAGGTGTCCAGAGGTTCGTGGATTTATTTCTGGGCTTTCTATTCTGTTCCATTGATCTATATTTCTGTCTTTGCACCAGTACCATACTGTCTTGATGACTGTGTGGCTTCACTCCTGTATTTTTGCCTGGAAAATGCCATGGGCAGAGGAGCCTGGTGGGCTACATGGGGTTTTGCAAGAGGTGGATAGAACCTTACACAAAAGTAAGGATACGACCGTACAAACACACAGAAACAGTTGGATACATGTGATTCATGAGGTCACAAGAGTTGGATATAACCTTACACAAAAACAACATCATAACTGGGCCAAAGATGATAAATAAATACTTGCAGGACACAACAGTGTGAACGAGCTTACTGCCACTGAACCGTACAGTTAAATATGGTTCAAATAATATGTTTTATTATTATATGACTTTTACCACAATAAAAACAAACAAATAATTCAGGGTAGTGGTTAATCATGGGTGGACCCAAGATTGCAGCATGATTGCTAGAGTAGAGACACGTGGGCTGCTTACTGTTCGGTCGCTCAGTCTGTCCAACCCTATATGACCCCATATAGATATATATATAGTGGAGTACTCCACTAGGCTCCTCTGGAAGAAGGAAATGGCAACCCACTCCAGGGTTCTCGCCTGGAGAAT